AAGAAATATTCTTTGTGATGAGAACTTGTTATAATTAATCATGAAATAAATGTTTCTTTGACCAGAGTGTGGCCTCTGATGAACACATATGAGGCAAACAGGATGTCCTCAGCTTCAGCTTCGTGAGTTCCATCAGGGCACTGCAATGACCAGATACACCACAGTAACAAAGCAGAACTAGATGACAGAAAGAAGCTGGCATCATTTCATGTTTAGGTTTCATATATATGCTCCTGTTCGACAATCCATATCCTTTTTTCACTAAATGAACACTTTGATACACACTTTAGGGATGTTGCCTTAATTCTTTCTAGTACCTTGTTTTCCCTCGACTTTTCACCTTGCGTTTTTATGTGTTTATGGATTTTCATTCTTATTCCTCTCCATTACCCCATCAATTGAAAGAGAGATGATGTCTGAACAGGAATAGCATTAGCCATTTCAGGAGTAACAAATGGTCCTGCTACGGGTGACACAGGGAGCCAGGAGGCACAAAGAAGACTTCCAGGTAACTGGAGTTGGTTCCTGGGTCAGGAGAGGACAGAGGAGCTGGAGGCAGGTGTCTGACCAGCTCTCCAGAGAGTTAATTGGATAATGTTATTAGAGAGTGAAGTGCTTGAGTTTATTCATATCTAAATATATAGAATTTTGGCCAAAAAGGAGTTCAGAAATAATTATTAAATTGAATTTGAAGGCCAAACCAACATTTAGTAGAGATTGTGAATTGATACATATAAACCTTTGACACATAAATTTCTTGACTCTTGAAAAACATTCACTAAAAGGGTACTTTTTGGAGTGGATTCTGAAGGGTTATGAGGATAAGAAATAGGGTCACCTGCTGTCTGATGAGTGAACACGTGGTGATTCCACGGTGATTCACCACAGAGATTTCAAGGTCCTTTAATATGAAGGTTCAAATCACAATCAATTATCCATGAGATAAATCTTACTTTAAAACTTTCCTAAGCATAATTAAGCAGAACAATTAATAGTCTTGGGGTAACGGTTACAGTCTGTGTTATTATTATAATGTTGAGTCCCTACAACATTTCTTTTTAAAGAATGGCCAGAGGCCTTTAAACTAAAGCACTTAATTTTATTGAAAAAGACATGAAGCCATTTCATTTAAGCCATAGATTCTCATCAGTGATGATGATAGCTGCCATTGACTGAGGGCCTACTATGTTCCATGAACTGCATCAGACACTGTATACACGATTTCCCCCTTATCCACAATAACCCAGGGAGATGGGCATTATTTTTTCCATTTAATAGCTTCACATTGTCTAAATCTATAGTACACTGAAAAAGATGACATGTTTCAGAATGGTAGGAGCAGCATGGGAAAAATGGGGACTTTCCAGGTCCTCCTGGCCATGTCCAGCAAATAAGCATCTATTAAATGACTTAATATCTGTTGACAGTCCATAGGCTTAAGGCTATGAGGAATACAAAAAAAAATTTTTAAGCATAAATAGTATAAAGGGAAATTAGAAAATACATGTATAAAGAACAAGAGAACAATCCAGGTAAACTAAAAAACTGAAAGAAAAAATCCCCACAAAATTGTGACATTTGTTTTTGTATATTTGGCACAAAGTTCATAGTAGGTACTCAATGCATGTTGAATCATTGAATCAGTCAATCAACTAACCAAATGCTAGATTGTGTGGCACTGACTCTTAAGAATTAAAATAGTCTAGAGAAGGAAAATTCATTATGGCCTTAAATAGTAGCAAGACTTCCTGAACAAGGCGAGATCTGAGCTATGCCTAGAAAAATTAGAAATATTTGAGTTATCATGAAGAACAGAAGTCACCTTGGGCAGAAGGAACACCATGAGCAGACCCAGAGTTTCCTTCTTGGTCCCCCTTTGCAGCTCCACCTGTATCCTTCCTCCACTGCTTCCACAGGCTTTGCCACAAGCTCATCTGCTCCGCTCTTGTTTATCCTACTCTTGAGCTCTGTCCAGCTAGTTTCCAGAACGCCTGGGAGCTGGCATTGATTGTGCTAAGGCATCTTTGGATGAACAGGAATGCCTCTGTCCTTTGGTGTGGAGTGGAAAAGCAAACAGGGTTTGTCCTATGGATGATTCTGGGCTTCTGCAAGCAAGGTAATAAATTATTCTAAATGAGGCAGAAATCAAGACGAATATCTCCCTCTCCTAAAGAGCTGTGAAGAGGGATTCCCATGGATATGCTGGCATTTGGGAGACCCTCTCAAGACTTCCAGAAAGACGTTCCCAGCAGGTCCTCACAATTCCTTTCTATTCCCTTTGTGCCTCTGCCCCAAAGTCAGGGCCAATATAAACCCAGCCTCCTCAGACTTTGGTAACTGGGGCTCAACACAAGCCCTTAGGTTCCTCCAAACACAGAGATTTTTGTTTTGCAGGCATCAGAAAGGCATCTTCTAAGAGGTGGACTTTAGCTCAGTTGGTTAGAGCACAGTGTTATAACGCCAAGGTCAAGGGTTTGGATCCCGATACTGGCCAGCTGCCAAGAAAAAAAAAAAGAAAGAAAGGCATCTCCTAGATCAGGTTTCCTGAATCATTTCCAGCCTGGCTTCTGTTAGAGATTCCTGGAGTTAGTCACTTTATAATTTGTCTCATGATAGGTAAAAAGTTGCCCCAGATCAGAGCCATGAATTGGTTGAGTGCTTAGAAAAATCCATACCTCCAGCTGGGTGGAAGAATGGTTGATCGTGGTAACCTTCCCGTGACTTTTTTTTTTTTTACTCTGAAAAAGCTGCCAATCCCACACAATTGTGTTTCAGAGTCTTGCCCTCTTTGCTTCTGTTTTTCATGAGCAATATGAGACATGAGGAGCCGTGCTCAGCAGCAGATCTGATTTTCTGAAACATATCTCCCTTTGGTAGTGAGAAGAGTGGCTTCCCTTTCACAGGGTGAGAGACTGCTTCCGTTTTCCTCCTGCTCTCCTGAGCCAGCAGCCCCGTCCTTGGCAGAAACGATGAGCTGTTGCCCTGTTATCTCATGAAAAAGACAACTGTACACTCTGTCGATATACAGAGCCTTGTATTTCCAAAACAGCGTTCCAACCCTTAAGAGCAAGGAGGTGCACAGAAGATGCTAAGAAAGAGGTGAAGGGACAAGGACAGCATATGAAAATGTAACTAGTGTGAGAAGGAGTCAGATGAAGGGCCAAGCCTGCAGTCGGCAATGCAACTTTGCAGGTGTGGTGCCAGTCCTTAATAAAAGACTTTCTCGTGAGAGCTGAAAGCTTTTCCCTCCTGGATGTATAAAACCTGGTTCTGTGAATCCAGTGTTTTGATGGCAAAAGTCTTGACATTTTTGTATAATATTTTTTTTAAAAAAACCCCACCCTATCACAGGAAAAGAAACAGAACAACAATGGAAGAAAAGGCCGTATGGATCTAAAGAAAATTTTTTGGATTGCCACGCTCAGAACTTCCACTGTGTTGATTATACAACTCTGGCTAATTTCACTTCCTGTCTGGGGTATTCTTTCTTGGTTCAAGTGGGGAAAAGTCCCAACACTCGATAGGCCTGCTTCCCTAAAGTTAGATTCCCCACATGAAAGCCATCAGCGCATGCCAGCCCTCCACCAAAGGAGGAGCAGGTTCAGGACCTGGCACCGTGCAGCCGAGTGGCACTGCTCCCAGAACTTTCATCCAATAAAGAGCCATTGTGGGCTCTGGACCCTTCAACGCACAGGACAAATGACTGAAATGAAAAGCACAATGCATGTGAGTGGAACCAGAAACTTGAATGGAGTGGTAATCACTTCCTTAGTGTAGATCACATTATTTTGCATGGAACTTCATTCTGCAATTCAGTCCTTGCCTAGTGTAATAATACAGATTTCTATTTATCAGTTGATAAGTGAGAATGATTACGGTGGTAACCATTAAGCAGTGTAGGTTACCAGCATTGGTGGGGAAGAGAAGTGGAAAATTGTTAAGGGAGGTGGGAAGGGATATACATTCATCAGGAAGAGACAAAAACATGGGAAAAGAGAAGGAAGTGCTGATTCTCCATGTATGTGATCAATACAAACTGCATTTAAGCAACTGAGAAATTTGAGACTGTATCTAATGGTATAAGAAATTAAATCAGTCCGGGGCTTCAAAACAGCTGTGACTTCTATATGAGAATGAAGCTAGAGGCATGAAGAGGGGCTGGGGGTGAGGGTGAAGGTTAGGGCATCTGCTGTGCAGCTGACACCCAAGGGTAAGATTCAGGCCCCACGGACTGTAGATCTAGTGCTCAGATCCAAATATCGAGGGGGCTGGGAGGAGTAAGGATGCTAATTCAGACTGAGCCATAGTTTTCACCTGGGTGACCTGGAGTGACTCTATACAACAGACAACCCCACTACCAAAACAAAAACAAAAAACAAAAACAGATGCTTCTCTGAGCTAAGCTTTCTCAAATGAATAAATAGGAGGGGATAGTAGGATTAGACTTCATAATCCAAAAGAAAATTTCCCTCTAAGCTGGACCAATTTACTGTATTCCATGTCCCTCAGTTTTAGGACCAGGTTTTTCTATCTCTAAGCCAACCCTATTTTTAGCTAATCACTTTTGATCAGAAACATAGTCTGTATCAAACAACTCTTTTTCTTTATTATCTGGAGCTTGGAATTGACTACAGTTTCTTAACAAATTCACTTCGTATACTTGCTTTCTGACTTGCTATCAACAGGCATATGTCTATGTACAGGTACCATTTTAATAAAAACATCTCCATATCTGTGAAAGGATGCAAATATTTCAACAAAAGGCTATTTGATTTAATGTCCAATTATCATTTTTCATTTATTGTCATCATATTTGACCAGCATGGTTCTAGCTCTATAAGTAATCTACAGTGATGACAAGTTATTTTAAATATGTCGGTAGTTTGTTTTAATTTATGAAATTATGCCTTTGTAGTGGGTAGATTGTATCTTGTTGAAAAATACAAATAAATATTTTTTCCAGCAACCCAGTGTTAAGTTCTTTCACGTTCTCAACTCACCAGAATTAAGCAAAATGATAGATTTGAGGCACACAAACTCCTCTCCCTGAACATTCATCATACGGAACCGAGATGACGTAGCCAGCAACATGTCAAAGATCTCCACCATGCCCTCTACACATTTCCCCTGGTTCCTATGAAAATGCAGCAAAGAAAAAAAAATTATTAGAGGATGGAAAAGATTCCACAAGACATGATGGGGTTTGCATTGATAAAAAATCTACTGACTCCAAATCTGTAACAAAAAACTACAGCCCATTCTCTTCATGCAGCATCAACATTCATTTGAATTCTAGAAGGCAATACAAAAAAGGTTTTCCATCAATAGAACATTCTCATTTCAAATTTTTAGAAGAGATATATTGTTCAATCCCCAAATCTGCCAGTTAAATATGGAGTTCTTCAACCCATGGGTAATCAAAAATGATTAAGACTCAAGTAAATATTTTTTCTAACAAATATTTATTGATCTGCTACTGAGTTCTAGAAATTGTGGTAGTTATGGGAATAAAGACAGGGCTTCTGCTCTCAAGATGCTCATGGTCTTGAACTAGTAGAACAAGTCCTAATGTATTTTGAAGTGCTTTTGAAGTACAGGAAAAACTACAATTTCTGTGAACTGTGGTTAGGTTGACACCACTGGAGTTGCAGAGGATGACAGGTGAAACTTCTGAAGAAGACAGGTAAGAGAATGTAGGATTTCATCAAACAGAGGTGTGAACACATCATTGGAAAAGGGTCCTAAACGTGCAAAGGAGGAGCACCATGAAGAAACATAGAGCAGTGAGTTGGAGGTGAGGAGACGGGAGATGAATCTGGGAGAACAGGAAAATATCAGGTGATGAAGGATGTTCTACAACTTTAGAAGTTAAGGCTTTCTTCCTACATAACAGAGCCTTGGCATCAAGGGTTTAACATTAGTAGTTGCATCTATTAAATAAACAAACCCAAAGGTTCATAACATGTAATTTTTAAAAATGCAGGTGTCAGTATCTTTTCATTGGATCGTTGCAGAATTTAAATGAAATACTACATATGAAAGGAATTCATTCATTTTTTCTGTTCAAAAGTTGAATTGGGGGCATGATGTGTTCAAGGGTGGTCAGGAAGAAGTTAAAATATTCTGTGCATAAGCAAACATATATTTGTGAAATATATAAGCATTTAAAACACGTGTTTTACTAAACAAACACTAAACACATCACTTAGCACCTTGTGTTGTTTTTAATTAATAGATCTTGGAGTTCTTCACCAACTGTTTTCAACAATTGAATAGCTTTTCACTGAACCAAATTCTATAATTCTTTTAACCACCTCTTTGTTGGTTGACATTTAGCTTGATTGCAAGTATTTTGCTGTTACAAACATTTTATTTGACTATCCTTATGTTTATGTCTTTGGACACATGGATAGAAAACTACAGAATAAATTTCTAGAAGCAGAATTGCTAGATCAGAGGACTTACATATTTTTGATTTTTATAGATAGCTCAAACATTGCTTTCAAAGAGCTTGTACCAATAGACTGTAGGAAGGAGAATATAGGTATAAGCTCTTTCTCTGAGCTGCCTGCTCTTGTCATTTACCCATATTTTTCTGTTGGGTTACTAGTCATTTTCACATTGATTCTCAAGAGCTCTTTATATATTACAGTAATTGACCCTCATCTATATTTTTAATATTTTTCTCATGGTTTGTCCTGTTTTTATTTTGATTTTGTTTCTGGTATTTTCTGGAAATTTTTAATTATTACAGAATCAAATTTATCAAACTTTTCATTTATGGCTCTAGAACAGTATATCTTGCTTTAAAAGATCACAGTCCATTTCAATAACATATTAAAATTTATCTTATGTTTTCTTATAGTATAGATCCATGTCTTTAATTTAAATCTTTTGTTGTATGGGATTTATTCATTTTTATAACAACATTATTTAGACATAATCACATACCATATAATTCACCCATTTAAGGAGTACATTTACAGAGTTATGCAACCATCATTTAGAATTTATTTTGGTGAAAGATGTGAGACAGGGATTCAGCTTATTATTTCTTCCAGATAGCTAGTTAGTTTTCTTAAAACCATTTATGGAACAAATCATCTTTTTCACACTGACTTGAAATATGCTAGGCACTTTTGATGTATTCATTTCTTTCAGATAACTGACCTTTAAGATTAGTAGTATTTTTCCCATTTTTTAAAAAAGGGAATTAGGACTCAAAACTGCCTACCAACGAGAAGAAGGAATTCCAACAATAAGATTTTCTTTTTTCCCTTTCTTGCTCTACTTTGATTCATTCAAAAAGATTTTTTGAGGGAGTGATGGAGTTTGGATGTATTGTCCTCCCAGAACTCGTGGAAATCTGATCCCGAGTGTGACAGTTTGAGTCATGGGGGCAGATCCCTCATGAATGGATTAATGGTGGGGGGAGTAATGAGTGAGTTCTCACTCTTTTAGTTCCCATGAGAGCTGATTGTTTAAAAGATCCTGGCACCTCCTCTCTCTCTCTCTTCCTCTTGCCATGTGATCTGCTTGTACCCGCCGGCTGCCTGCTATTTTCCGCCATGAGTAGAAGCAGCCTGAGGCCTGCACCAGATGCAGCTGTCACAGAATCCTGAGCCAAATAAACCTCTGTTCTTTATAAATTACCCAGTCAAAGGTATTCTGCTACAAAACGGACTAATACAGGGAGTATTATACACTAGTCCTTGTGTCCAACATTAAGGCACAAGAAGAAAGCTATGGCATTGCTAATATGGAGATCTAGAATGGGAGCAAGACAGACAAAAAGAAAGACAGGTACATCACATTGGGATATATTTCCTGGAAAAGGTATAGAAGGAAAGCCTCTTAGATCTAAAGTCTGTCTCCTAAAATCCAACCCACGTTAATATTGAAGCAATTATCATAATATTCCCAGATAAAGTTAAATGAATTTTTATGTAACATGTTTAGAAGAGAGTGTGGCATGCAGTGGGGACTACATTGAAGTGTTAGCTATAGATATATTGATAAATAGATAGATACATATATGTCAGGGGAGAGGTAGGCCTTTCAACCTGAAGTATCTAGACAACAATCACCATGTGCATTTTGCTTTGACTGTGGAAATCTGGATGCATGGAAGCTCTGTATAAGCTGAGAGGAAACTTTAAAGGCCATACTGCTCAACACAGGGATGAGATAGTGGTCACACCAAAGGGTCAGTCAGCCTCACGGGGGGAGAGCGTACTAGAAGTGGGTTTTTCTTGTCATGTAGTTGAATTTTTTTAAGTGGTACATTTTCTTTCTAGTGAAAAAATAAACAAGTATAGGGGAAAATGTTTGAGGATGAAGCTTTAAAAATAACAACTCATAGCCAAAATAGAGAAATGTTCCTTTCTCAGTAGAAAGTCTCTGTTTATGTAACAGACTGCACACCGGCAGGGGAGGACGTCTCAGCTGGGAGGGAGCCTGTGTTCACCTGCTGTGAGCAAAAGTTCAGTTCAGAAACTGAGAAAGTGGAATCTTAACAATTCTCCTTTCTTCTTGTCCCTTTTTAATAGTCTCCCACATTTTCCCATGAGGAGCTTGTTCTTAACTCTTCCAGCAAGAGTGTGTTTTTCTCAGCCTCTTCTCACTGGAAATCATGTTTTTCCTAACCAGCAATTATTATAGTACATATTCGCTTCAGCGGTACCCATTAGTAGCCATGGACCATGCCCTCGGAGACAGTGCACACTCCAAAGTCTCAATTCAGTTTTCACTGTGTGTGTGTGTGTGTGTGTGTGTGTGTGTGTGTGTGTGTGTGTGTGTGTGTGGTGCCTGTGCATGTGTGTTTTCCTTTAGGGGATATGGAGGGACACACACCATCTATTAATCATCGCCTACCTTCCATGCAAACATAGGTGCTTCATGTTTTTAGAGGTGCGAGTCTGACCTTTGCAGGCTCCTGGGGGATATTTAATGCCATGAAGCTGCAATTTTTAAGCAGTGTTGTAAGAGGTTAGAAGAAGTTTATGCTGATGTCTCCATAAGAATAAGCTCACTGTCTTTTTCAATGGGAACGACTCAGTTGGTCTAAATACTTCAGCCAATCCACTATTTGTGTAATGAATAAAATATCATGTACTTTGATGGTCTCGATGATATTTTGGTAAATCATTAGAATGTTGCCTGAATCCCAGTGACTGGCTGATTATGTGGCACCTGTAGGTCTCTGACTAGCATTATTGCAAGGTAAAAAGGCCTGCCATGTGAGCTAGGAAGCAAGTGATTTGTGGAGTTGACCTATGATCTGGTACAAATCCACATGGACTTTGAATATTAGACAGTCACTCATCACCCGCCTGATGCAAAGGAACCCATCATTGTCTACTAAGGTCATCACACATTGTGCTCAGGGCTTCCTTTTCAAGGTCCTACCAAAATATTCCACACTAAGTTCAAAGAGCAAATCAGACTAGAACATTTCACTCAATTTCAGAGGGAATAGATAAATCAACAGCATCAGAAAGGAGGTGATTACTAAGAATCTGGAGGTAACATTACAACAATAAGACAAGATTAGCTTAAATCTGTGAGCTGCTCCTGAGGCTGAGAAACATGTGGGGTATGGAAAAACAAGATTTATTTTTAAAGGAGGCACAGCTTCAGTCACAGATCAGGAGAAGGAGTTTACCAAGCAGCCCAGCCTCTGGCTCCCACTGTGAGACGTGACAGCCTGCGGTGAGGAGCTCGGCAGCGATTATATCAGTCTGGCTTTCAGGGCACCTCCAAATCCCCTTGTGGGGAAAGTTATTCTGCTGCATACCGTCTCCAAATGTAGTCCATTTGTACTTAAGTAACGGGGGAAGAAGCAAGACCTAAAGGGGCATCTGCTCATGGCATGCCTTGGAAGTTTCTCCTCTGCAAAAATGAAAGCCTGGTTTTCAGAAGCCCGAAGGTAACCCTTCCCCCACATGGGAAATAAAGAGCTCTGATGAGGGAGTGCAGACCAAGCCTGAACTCATCTTCAAAAACATACTTTACAAAACGTAAAGCTACCCATTAGCCTCTCTTTGTATAGAAAGAAATTGATAAACGGAAACAGAAAACTCAGGAGATCAACGTAAGACATTTCATTTAGCTGTCCTGAAAAAAAGTACAATA